GCCTCCTCCGCTTCACTACCCACCAGACACCTCCAGCCATCGGTGAGTACCCATACAAACTTAGTACAGTACTTGTAGTTGCATATGTAAGCCTTATTTTCTTTCGAAATGGCAATGATTTTCTGTATATGTAATGTATTTCATGGGGAAAGGGGAGGCTCAGGAACGTAACTCCCATATTTTATCTAATTCTCATGGGGAAAATTGATCCGCTTAATGTTGTTTCGTATAACGTTGCGTTTTCAGGAACATAACCAAGACGTTAAGCAAGAACTTACTGCATAGTGTATAATTTTATACTGTAAATTAACATTGTTTATGTAAACACCGTTGTAGTGGACGTCTCCCCTACAACTGCGTAGCCGCATGCCACCTGCTACATCTTCCCTAGCAACCAAACGAGAGGCCCAGGGGGGGGCGTCACCAGATGCCACAGTATCCTAGCAACGGAGTCAAAAGACCGAGGTTTCCCACGGGTGACTCACGGGTGACTCACGGCTGCTGTGTATATAAGCTCTATCTCTCCATTGAGATTCATTCTGGCCTCACTTCTTGAACACGCAACACCTCCTCCTCCGCCGCTGCCTGGCGGCCCTCGCTTCTCCTCCGCCTGCCTGGCGGTCCTTGCTCCCGCCAGCGAGCATGGCGACCCACAAGCTGTCCTTCTCTGAACGTCCTCACCAACCAGCTCTCTTATTCTGCTCTCGGTTCCTGAACACGCAACACCTCCTCCAAGCAAGCTCCTCGCTGTCCCGTTCTCATTCAACCTGGAGGCCAGCAACAGGCAACATCTTCTCTAACGAAGCTCCTGCACATCTACCTCCTCCAACACGCTACCCACCGAACGTGCCTACTGAGCAGCTCCTCACCACACGGCACCTCCAGCACCAGACTGTCTATCATATAACTTATATTATACAAGAAAACCACCTTAGAGTTTCCATCCATCCTGAGTGCTAGACAACTTTATATCACGAAACCCTACACCGTGCATATGCTAATGCACACAACAGTGTTTGTGCACTGTAGCATTGTGTGTAGTGTTGGTGTGTATACTATGTATACAGTCAACCCTCACTTTAAGCGGTCCCACATTCCACGTTTCCACGTTTACGCAGTGCCCTGCCGGAAGCCAGGATGCTCACATTCCGCGGTGCATGTACCCCATTACGCGGAGAGTGTCCGGCTCGACGCAATTTTTAGATTCACCCCACCCACCTGCTCCCGCCTCCTCCTCCGCCTGGCCAAGCCGCGCGGTAAGGTTGCGCAGTGCATGTCTCTGTTGCGTTATCACTGACGTCATATGACGTATCGGACTGTGATTGGCCATGCATCCCTATCTCCCTCCGCTGCTAGCTGTAATTGGTTTAAATAATATGAAGTGTCCACCCGGGGGAGGGAGGGAGGGAGGAAAGACGACGCTTGACCTAGTCGCGGCAGTTTCATCCCTCCAGGCCACACCGTGTAATCGTGCATCCATTGTTCTGTAAAATGGCTTCCGTTGGACCACCGCCCCCAGAGAGAAACCTTTCCTTGCCTGGACCCAGCAGCCCTAAGCCCAAGAAGACACGACGTTCCTTAAGCTACGAGGTGAAGTACAAGATCATCCAAGAGTTAGAGAAAGGAACAAGACAGGTTGATTTGGCGCGCCAGCATGGTGTGAACGAATCTACGATCCGGACGAAAAAGGAGGATGCAGCCAAGATAAAGGAGCACATGAAGATCACAAAGTCTACAGGTGCTTCTATGATCAAGTATTTTCACAACCAGGTGCTTCTCAAGACGGAAAAATTACTTGTCAGCTACTTGGTGCGTCAGGCGCGACGGAACATGGAGGTGGACACGCGCTCAGTTAAGGAGTACGCACGTGAACTGTATGCTGCAGTGTCACGAAAGATGGGAATTACAGAGCCCAAACCCTTTAATGCTTCCTCTGGGTGGTTACAGAGGTTTAAGATGCGGAACAAGATCACCAATATAAACATTGGTTGTGAAGAAGCGAGTGCTGACCGTGCTGCGGCTAGGGAATTTCCTCCGGTTTTATGTGAGATTATGGAGGAAGGACAGTACACCGACGACCAGGTGTTTAACATGGACGAATCTGGTCTTTTTTGGAAAAAGCGACCTTCAAAGACCTTCGTTGTGAAGAATGCCAGCAAGATCCAGGGCCGGAAGATGCAGAAGGAGCGCATCACCGTCCTGTTTACCACCAATGCCTCCGGTACCTGTAAGCTCAAGTTATCGGTGATCCACACAGCACGCAAGCCGCACGCCTAGAAAACCATGGACATGACCAAGCTAAATGTCCACTGGCTGACCGCACGTAAGGTGTGGATGTTCTCTACACTGTCCCTCTCCTGGTTTGATGACTGTTTTGTTCCCAATGAAAAGAAATTCTGTGAGCGACAGAATGTGCCATTCAATATTTTGTTGCTGCTGGACAACGCACCAGGACACTCGCCCCTACTGTTAGATCGTCACCCCAACGTAAAAGTGATCTTCCTTCCTCCCAACACTACGTCAATATTACAGCCCATGGACCAAGAGTTAATCTGTAATGTAAAAGCTGCATTCTCAACAAAAAAATTCCAGCTCCTGAACGATTACACCAACACCAGGGAAGAGTTGCGTAACCTGAGTGACACCAACACCGATAGCAAAAGCGAAGAAGACGAGGATCAACAGTTGGCAGAGCAAGAAGTACTTTTAAAACAATTCTGGAGAACATTCAACGTCAAGAAAGCTGTGGACTTCTTGGTGGAGGCATGGGATCAGCTGTCTGTAGCAACTATTCGTCACGCAAGGAGACATGTGTTGCAAGGCATTCCGGGCGTAAGGCAGAGTCAATCTGTGACTGGTGAGGTTCAGACTGTTGCAGTAGCAGTGGACCTTGCCAGAGAAGCTGCGCAGAGTGTTACAGTTGCAGGCTTCTCCGAGACCACCAACGACGACATCCTGGAGGTGATAATGGAACCTGATGTGACTACCAACGAGATGGTAGATGATGATGACGTCAGTGAAGAGGCAGGTGGTGCGTCATCCCAAGAAGAACACCGCTTATCCCATAATAATGTTAGGGGTGCCATCGAGTGTGTCCAGAAAATCAAGCTCCTCCTTTCCAACGACCATGACGCAAACAGGTATGAAATCTTCACTACCCAGCTGTTGCAGACTATGGAGCCCTACTTCAAGGTTTATCACGACAACATAAACACCAGCCGTCAGCAAAGCATAACCGAGTTCTTCGCCCACAACCCACCACAGCCAGCCCAAGCCAGTGATAGTGACAGAGGTAGAGACAGTGATGATGACATTGAGGGATTTGTCAGGGAGGCCCTGACAAGTGTGGATGACAGTGATGGTGACTCACCTGAGGGCCAGTAGCCTGCCCTCTGCCTCAGAACCAGCCTCCATCGCCGTATGCCGACCCATCTCTTCTACTAACGTAAGTGTTCAACCTACCTTTTAGTTTTCCTAACCTAACCTTTATTTTTCCTAACTTCACCTTTATTTTTCCTAACCTAACCTCTGCTATATTACTTGTTTGTGCATACCATCATAAAGTTAAGATAAAATTTGTACTACAACATAGTTGTGTGTTGTCAAAAAGTGGAGTTTGGGGGTCGGCCCGGTCTCTATTTCAATTAATCCCATATGTTATGTTATTCACTTTACGCGTTTCTCACTTTCCGCGGTACCCTATGGGTTACATTAACTGCATAAAGTGAGACCCAACTGTATGCGTACCCCATACTTTACTTCAATTCTGAAAGCTACAGAGAATACCTGTGGCACCAAGGGATCAAAAATAGGCCCTGTGAAAAGTGTGTCCATTAACGAGAAATTGGACACTTTCTAGAAACTTGAAAACAAAGTGTATGTGAAAGTGTTAATGATGGTGTATAGAGTGGGCATGTCCACCATCTACAACATGATGTATGACAGGGGAAGGTGAGGCAACAAGAAGAGAAAGCTTTGCCAGGCACAGATGAAGAAGGTAGCCTCACCCACACTCGTATGGGTCCAGTGAAATACGAAAAAGTAGATGGTGCTGTGTACAGCTGGTACAAGCAGCAACAAGCAGTGGTATTCCCGTTCACAGCACTGAGCTCTGTGATGCTACCCACCACTTTGCTACACTGCTGGAGGTGTCTGACACCTTGGCATCCCAGTAGGAGAGCAACACCCCTGGACTCAAGGCCAACAAACAGTGAGTGTCAGTGTTGCTGTGTGCTCATGTTGCTGGCACTCACAAAATTTGACCAGTGGTGGCGAGAAATGCGCAGCGGCCAAGAGTGACGTAACAAGAAGGAGGCTTGGTTCACACGGGACATCTTTGAAGACTGATTCCACAATGTCTTCATGCATGCTGTCAGGCACTACCAGATGACAGTCCATGGCATCCCCAGAGTAGAGGTCAAGGCTTCGCTTCTCCTTGACAATGCCCTACCAAACCCGACTGTGGGAGCTAGCCTATCCCCTTGCTAAGTACAGGACAAAATTACCTAAGACAAAAATCCCTAGGATAAAACCCTATTCAAACCAAACCTAACATAAAATAGCATTGAGATTTTTTTTAAATTCAACTATCCAATTAATCTGAGGGAATTTTGTCTGGCAGAAGACCATGCTCTCAAGGTTTTCATATGCCAGTAGCAAATTAAATTAGCTTATGGTTACTAAAAAAATTAATTAATTAAAATCTAGATATACATACAGAGTAACAAATACTTTTCCAGTGCTGCCAGTACATACCAGGAAAAAAGGACAGTTAATTATGAGGAGACGTGAAAGAGGCAATGCTCACAACGACATTGGCTATTTCTCTGGATGAGGAACTATGTAACAGCTCTTGGCCTTTCTATCAAGATGTTAGTGAGTTCTAACATTACAGATGGTTAAGGAGGTGTAAACATGAGTTAACCGAGGAGTTCAAGGTCATAAAATGATTTTGCCTACTCCTTATCTGGTTTACTTTCATGAAAATACAAAATTCAAACCTTGGCTTTCTCCACTTCACTGGGCGTTTCTTCAGTGTCTGGTAGACGAGCCATAGATGCCCTGTAGCTGCCAGGATCCTGTCTGAATGGGAAAGCAAGAGATACTACAGGATGCTCTAGTGGTATGGACAGTGGATTCCCAAGTTCTGATTTTGGGGTCTTATGAAGGAGGGTTCTGAGGAAAGTGAGGTATTTTCTACAAGGTTATGGGGAAAATGGCTCATATTAAACTAACAAGAAATAGTGGTATGCTCTTAACCTATGTTATGTTGATCTAATCAATTAATAAACTAGGATTTCTAGCTTGAGTTGGTCTAAATTTTGGATTTAGGTGCAACATTAAGCTGTAAATTTTAAGAATTAAGTGTACAAATAATTAATAAATTTCATTTTCCAGGTACAAAAAAATACATAATGTACAATATTATTTTGTCATGCCTAGTTATGGTATGAAGCATATTTTCTATTAATTTTTCTAGACTTTTCTTGTCGATATACTATATAACTGAAATCTACAACAAAAAGCTAATTGTTATGAAAGCTTTTTAAGTGAATTAACAAATATCAAAGAGATAATATATTTCTTAAAGATAATGAACAGGATATGACTTACTTGTACTCAGGGATGTTAAGAAGGGAGCCTCGGTAAAATATATCCTTGCGGTACAGGAGGCCTGAGCCATGATGAGAGGATGGCAGGCTACCAGTCTTGCCTGCTTGTAATCGTCCACTTCCCATTATACTTAACTGTCCTTGTTTTTCTGGTACTGGCAACACTGGAAAATTTTTGTTATTTTGTATACATGTCTAGAATTATAATTATTATTATTTTTTGGTAACCATAAGCTATGGTAATTTCAATACTTAAGGAAGAACAATTTCTTGAGATAAATACCAGTAAATTTCTCTGTGCTGTACTGTATGGGTATTCCATTCATTACGGAATCCCTGGTTACGGATTTTTGCCCTTAAATAATTTGGGTAAATTAAAAAAAAAATTTTATATTTGTTACTGAAATTTTTACCAAAATTTTACAAATAATATTGTGCGGATTCTCAAGGCAGCTGTGGTACATCAACAACGGTTTTGGTCTGTTTGATCTACAGCTTCTCTTTTCTGGGGCCGATACTCAAAACACCTCATCAGTTACGCACAGTAGCAGAGATACAGTACAATACGGTAACTGACAGACTCCTTACAGTCCCGTAATTACAGTCTCGTAAGCAGTCCGCAACTCTAGTGTTTACCCAGTAAATTCAGTTCTCTTGTCTGAAGGAAGATGGCAGTAGGTAGATGGCAGTGCAGGAGCTACGTAGTTGGCCAATAGTCGCTCAGTTAACAAAATCATCAACCAATCACAAGAGAAGGAGAAATCAGCTGAGATCGACGTACGTGATAGTTACTAGACGTACTTCAAGCGTCATTAGTGAAGATGGAATTATGTTTGAGTAATACTTGAGGATAATGGTTAACCACTGACCAATATATGCCAATATATACAGTCAACCCTCACTTTACGCGGTCCCACATTCCGCGTTTCCACGTTTACGCGGTGCCCTGCCAGAACCTAACGTGCTCACATTACGCGGTGCGTGAACCCCATTACGCGGAGAGTGTCCGGCGCGACGCTATTTTTAGATTCGCCCCACCCGCCTGCCTGCTTGTGCTCTCGCCTCTCCCTCCTCCTCCCTCCCTCCCACCTCCCTCCGCCTGGGCAAGCCGCGCGGTAAGGTTGCGCAGTGTGTGTCTTTGTTGCGTTATCACTGACGTCATATGACGTATCGGACTGTGATTGGCCATGCATCCCAATCCCCCTCTGCTGCTAGCTGTAATTGGCTTAAAGTATTATGACGTGTCCACCCGGGGGAGGGAGGGAGGGAGGAAAGACGATGCTTGACCTAGCCGCGGCAGTTTCATCCCTCCAGGCCAGAGAGTGTAAACATGTATCCATTGTTCTGGAAAAATGGCTTCCGCCGGACCACCGCCCCCAGAAAGAAACCTTTCCTTACCTGGACCCAGCGGCACTAAGCCAAAGAAGACACAACGTTCTTTAAGCTACGAGGTGAAGTACAAGATCATCCAAGAGTTGGAGAAAGGAACAAGACAGGTTGATTTGGCGCGCCAGCATGGTGTGAATGAATCTACGATTTGAACAATAAAGAAGGATGCAGCCAAGATAAATGAGCACATGAACATCACAAAGTCTACAGGTGCTTTTATGATCAAGTATTGCCACAACCAGGTGATTCTCAAGACAGAAAAATTACTTGTGAGCTACTTGGTGCGTCAGGCGCAATGGAACATGGCGGTGGACACGAGTTCAGTTAAGGAGTACGCACGTGAACTGTATGCTGCAGTGTCACGAAAGATGGGAATTACAGAGCCCAAACCCTTTAATGCTTCCTCTGGGTGGTTACAGAGGTTTAGAAGAGAAACAAGATCATCAATATCAACATTGGTGGTGAAGAAGCTAGTGCTGACTGTGTTGCGGCTAGGGAATTTCCTCCGTTTTTACGTGAGATTATGGAGGAAGGACAGTACACCGACGACCAGGTGTTTAACATGGACGAATCTGGTCTTTTTTGGAAAAAACTACCTTCCAAGACCTTCGTTGTGAAGAATGCCAGCAAGTGTCGGGGCCGGAAGTTGCAGAAGGAGAGCATCACCGTCCTGTTTACCACCAATGCCTCCGGTACCTGTAAGCTCAAGATATCGGTGATCCACACAGCACGCAAGCCGCACACCTACAAGAGCATGGACATGACCAAGCTAAATGTCCACTGGCTGACCGCACGTAAGGCGTGGATGTTCTCTACACTGTCCCTCTCCTGGTTTGATGACTGTTTCGTTCCCGATGTGAAGAAATTCTGTGAGCAAGAGAATGTGCCATTGAAGATTTTGTTGCTGCTGGACAACGCACCAGGACACTCGCCCCTACTGTTAGATCGTCACCCCAACGTAAAAGTGGTCTTCCTTCCTCCCAACACTACGTCTATATTACAGCCCATGGACCAAGAGTTAATCTGTAATGTAAAAGCTGCATTCTCTACTGAAAAATTCAAGCTCCTGAACGACTACACCAACACCAAGGAAGAGTTGCGTAACCTGAGTGACACCAACACCGATATCAAGAGCGAATACGACGAGGATCAACAGTTGGCAGAGCAAGAAGTACTTTTAAAACAATTCTGGAGAACATTCAACGTCAAGAAAGCTGTGGACTTCTTGGTGGAGGCATGGGATCAGCTGTCTGTAGCAACTGTTCGTCATGCATGGAGACATGTGTTGCAAGGCATTACGGGCGTTAGGCAGAGTAAATCTGTGACTGGTGAGGTTCAGACTGTTGCAGTAGCAGTGGACCTTGCCAGAGAAGCTGTGCAGAGTGTTACAGCTGCAGGCTTCTCCGAGACCACCAACGACGACATCCTTGAGGTGATAAGGGATTCTGATGTGACTTCCGACGAGATGGTAGATGATGATGACGTCAGTGAAGAGGCAGGTGGTGCGTCATCCCAAAAAGAACGCCGCTTATCCCATAGTAATGTTAGGGGGTGCCATCGAGTGTATCGAGAAAGCCAAGCTCCTCCTTTCCGACGACCCTGACGCAAACAGGTATGAAATCTTCACTACCCAGCTGTTGCAGACTATGGAGCCCTACATCAAGGTTTATCACGACAACATAAACACCAGCCGTCAGCAAAGCATAACAGAGTTCTTCGCCCGCAACCCACCACAGCCAGCCCAAGCCAGAGATAGTGACAGAGGTAGAGACAGTGATGATGACTTTGAGGGATTTGTCAGGGAGGCACTAGTAAGTGTGGATGACACCGATGAAGACTCACTTGAGGGCCAGTAGCCTGCCCTCTGCCTCGGAACCAGCCTCCATTCCCCTACGCCGACCCATCTCTTCTACTAACGTAAGTGTTAACCCCAGCCTTGTTTTTTCTAACCTAACCTTCAGTTTATTCTTCTCTTATTGACTGTTCCTTTCTATATTATGTGTGGGTGAATACCATCATAAAGTTAAGAGGTTATTTTTAGTAAAACGTACGTATTGTGTCGGGAAAAAGTGGAGTTTGGGGGTCGGCCCGGTCTCTATTTCAATTAATCCCATATGCTATGTTGTTCACTTTATGCGTTTCTCACTTTACGCGGGCCACCGTGGGTTGAATTAACCGCATAAAGTGAGGGTTCACTGTAATAAGCAGCTAATCTAAAATACTTTTCAACTTTCCAGTGTAAGGAGAGGAAGTAATATCTAGGAGGGGGTAAATTGGGGTAGATAAAATTCATGGGGTATAAAGCGAAAAGATGGAAATTCTTCCCATGGAAAACCCGGATTAGTGTTTGACAATAAAATACTTACATGGTTGGGACTGGGCCATCCTAGTTGCATCATCTGTGTTTTTCAAGTTTTGCAGTAAAGGCATGATGTTACCATGAGAGCTGATCCGCTGGATACTCTCTGTGTTATGACTCTGACGAACCAGGTTGGCATCACTGAAGTTCTTCTTCAATTCATCTGCCGCAATCTGATGGGTAATAGATAAATCAGTTAACTTTTCTAAACACCATGTATAGTCAGCCAAAGATCCAGCAACCCCAACCTGAGTCTTGCACTCCCAATTTTACGTGAAAATACTTGGTAAAGTAAGGCTGTATGTAATGGAGATTGTGATTGGTGGATCTATTTTTGGATCTATCACTGTCAGGATAAATATTAAACAAACCAAAGGTAACATTTTTATAATAGTAAAAAATTCATTGTTATTTAAGGTAATGAAAAGTTTCCAAATGTTCGTATATTTGTTTAAATAATGAAGAAAATTTGATGTGAGAATCTTGTGGCAGCTGTGGTTGTGGTTGAGTTGCCAATTCATTAATATAATTTTCTTCATTATTTACGAAAATATACGAACATTTGGAAACTTCTCAAGATCTAAAATAATGATGAATAGTTTTACAGAGTCCGAATCTTCGAGGGTTCACTGAATTACCACGTAAAATTGCAAGTACAAGACCCAGGTTGGGGTCACTGGGTCTTTGGCTGACTGTACAGTAGCCAAAACAACTATCTGTGCAGGTGGGGGTCAATAAGCTCCAAAATTTTATGTGTGACTAGTGACAGCCCTCATATACCAAAATTTATCGTCCATGGTCTCATATTGTTTCCTACAAAGTATGCACAGATTGCTGTTTTAGCAACTGTACATACGGTACAGTAATTAACTACATATACATTACAGTACTGCAGACCCTCATCAACCATGGATTCCAGGAATCCATGGCTTTTACTCTGTACAGTATACCATTTCACCAACCATGGGAATGAATTTCCAGTATCCACAGATTAGTGTGCCATCTTTATCCCTCCACAGTCTAATGTATTCCTCTGTAAATGTGAAGAATTAACAAAAATAATAGTAGTAAAAAAAAAAATATTGCATTGCCTTTTGGCAAACGTTTCACTAAGGACGCGAGAGACAGGAGCACGCTCCCCCTCACACTCCTATGATCGTGGGCTAACTCTTGCAGATGTAAGAAATGTTTATTCTCTTTATGTTTTTGATCTTATGATAATCATTCCTTTTATTTTTTTTCAGCACATTCTGTATGAAGGATTGTGTCTGCATGTAACAGTCCAAATACTTGAATAAAATTACGTATATAGGCAGTCCTCGAGTTAAAACCGTCCAACTTTCGATCATCTGCACTTACAAACGGGATCCCAATACCTATAGTACCCCCGTTTCCCAACCCTGGGGTCGCCAAGCATTTTTCTTGGGGTCGTGAAGCAGTTCTGCCACTTCATGGAAAATTCCCACAAATCTGTAGGAGAAATAGGCCTATGTACGTGGGAGGTATTTGAATGAAATGTGATGGATTTCGATATAAATCTGTGAGATTTTGTGGGAGAAATTAGCTAAGGTGCATGGGAATTTTTGTTCTTAGAAGTGGCAACACCGTCGCCAAGCCGTCCTACGGCCCTACGTGTATCATACAGGCCCTACGTGTATCATACAGGCTTAGTTCCCAAATCTGAGATGTTACCAGCATATATTTATATGTTACTACTAAAAACAAGTATTTGCTGGATTCTCAGGTCCATAAAATACTTATCTAATATTGGTTGAATAATTTGGAGATATTGTTAAATACTGCTGATAAGGTGGCGAATTTTTACGTGCGTGTTATTTCATTAATATAATGCAGTTACCGCCAACCCCCGCCAACCCTGAATCACACGTGTTTCCCCTCAGCCAGTCAACCACTCAAGCTGTGGTCGAATGGGAAAGTAACTTGTTCATCTTCTGATGGCAAGTTAATGTATGTTTACCTGTATAATACCCCGCTTTACGCGGTTTCACTTTCCGCGATTTCGCATTTACGCGGCACCTCACCAGAACCGGACTTTCACTTTATGCGATGCATCTACCCATAAACGCGCAGAGTGTCTGGCGCGACGCTATTTTTAGATTCGACCCTCCCGCCTTCTCCTGCTTGGGCAAGCCGCGCGGTAAGGTTGCGCAGTGGATGTCTCTGTTGCGTTATCAGTGACGTCATATGACGTATCGGACTGTGATTGGGCCATGTATCCTTACCTTCCTCCATTGCTAGCTGTGATTGGTTTAAAGTAATATGACGTGTCCACCCGCAGGAGGGAGAGAAGAACGATGCTTGACCTAGCCGCGTCAGTTTCATCCCTCCAGGCCACACTGTGTAAACGTGCATCCATTGTTCTGTAAAATGGCTTCCACCGGACCACCGCCCCCAGAAAGAAACCTTGCCTTACCTGGACCCAGCCGCCCTAAGCCAAAGAAGATACGACGTTCCCTAAGCTACGAAGTGAAATACAGGTTGACAACCCTTTATCTGAAATTCCGAAAACCGAAAAGCTCTGAAAACCGAAAAAAATTTTGAAGGGGGGGGAGGGGGGAGGCATTTTTTTTTTTTTTGGGTGGCAAAAATGTAATAGTAATAATAATTATAATAATAATAATTATTCATAGTAAATAAAACTTTTAATAAAAATACACCAAGATAAAAGAATAATAATAAAATTAATAATAACAATAATACTGTAATAATAAAATAATAATAATAATAAAGAAATACAAGAATGAAAAAAAGATCAAAAGTGAGAAACACGACCTAAACGTATGCATTATTATTATTATTATTATTATTATTATTATTATTATTATTATTATTATTACTACTATTACTATTATTATAATTTTTATTATATCCCCCCCCCACCCCTCCCTAGGCCCCGATGTGGGTCAGTGATCTATGCCCGGGTGGGCTAATACACATTTAAAAAAAAAATAATAATAAATAAATAACTAACCATTCTGAAAACCGAAAAATTCCGAAATCCGAAAAGCCTCTGGCCCCAAGGATTTCGGATAAGGGATTGTCAACCTGTATAAGATAATTCAAGATTTGGAGAAAGGAACACGTCAAGCTGATCTCGCACGCCAGCATGGAGTCAACGAATCTATGATTCGTACTATTAAGAAGGATGCAGCCAAGATAGAAGAACACATGAGAATCACAAAGTCTGCAGGTGCTTCAATGATCAAGTAGTGCCAGAACAAGGTGCTGCTAAAGATTGAAAATTTGCTGGTGAGTTACTTGATTCGTCAGGCGCGACGCAACATGGCTGTGGACACGCGATCCGTTCAAGAGTACGGCCGTGAACTGTACGCAGCAGTGTCACGTAAGATGGGAATTGCAGAGCCCAAACCCTTCAATGCTTCCTCTGGTTGGCTGCATAGGTTTAAGAAGAGGAACAAGATCACCAACATCATCATTGGTGGTGAAGAAGCGAGTGCTGACCGTGTGGCGGCTAGTAATTTTCCTCCATTCTTACGTGACGTTATGGAGGAAGGACAGTACACCGACGACCAGGTGTTCAATATGGGTGAATCCGGTCTATTTTGGGAAAAAGCTACCTTCCAAGACCTTCGTTGTCAAGTCTACCAGCAAGTGTCGGGGCCGGAAGTTGCAGAAGGAGCACATCACCGTTTTGTTTACCACCAATGCCTCCGGTACCTGTAAACTCAAGTTATGGGTGATTCACACAGCCCGCAAGCTGCACGCCTACAAGAACATGGACATGACCAAGCTAAATGTCCACTGGCTAACTGCACGTAAGGCTTGGATGTTCTCTGCTCTGTCCCTCTCCTGGTTTGACGACTGTTTCGTTCCAGACGTCAAGAAATTCTGCGAGCAACAGAATGTTCCGTTCAACATTTGTTGTTCCTTGACAACGCACTAGGACACTTGCCCCTATTGTTGGATCGTCACCCCAACGTAAAAGTGGTCTTCATTCCTCCCAACACTACGTCGTTAATCCAGCCCATGGACCAGGAGTTGATATGCAACGTTAAGGCTACATTCTCTACAAAGAAGTTTAAGTTCCTGAATGACTGTACCAACACCAAGGATGAGTTGCGTAACCTGGGTGACACTGATAGCGAGAGCGACGAGGACGAGGAAGAAGAGTTGGCAGATCAAGAAGTTCGCGTCAAACAGTTTTGGAAGAAATTTAACGCCAAGAAAGCTGTTGATTTCTTGGTGGAGGCATGGGATCAGCTGTCTGTAGCAATGATTCGTCATGCATGGCGGCATGTGTTGCAAGGTATCCCAGGTGGGAGGCAGAGTCAACCTGTGACTGGTGAGGTTCAGTCTGTTGCAGTGGCAGTGGATCTTGCAAGAGAAGCTGCGCAGAGTGTTACAGCTGCAGGGTTCGCTGAGACCACCAACAACGACATTATGGAGGTGATAAGGGACCCTGAGGTGACTGCCGACGAGATGTTAGAAGATGATGACGTCAGTGAAGATGCAGGTGGTGCATCATCCCGAGAAGAACACAAGTTAACTCATGGTAATGTTAAGGATGCCATCGAGTTTGCAAAGAAACTCAAGCTCGTCCTTTCCAATGACCCTGACGATCACCGCTATGAAGTCTTCAATAACCAGCTGTTGCAGACTATGGAGCCGTACATCCAGGTGTATCATGACAACATCAACACTAGCCGTCAGCATAACATCACGGACTTCTTCGCCTGCAAACCACCACAGCCAGCCCAAGCCAGTGAAAGTGACAGTGACGCTATGGACTTTGAGGGATTTGTCAGGGAGGCCCTGACAACTATGGTGGATAGTGATGGTGATTTACCTGAGGGCGAGTAATCTGCCCTCTGCCTCGGAACCAGCCGCCATTCCCGTATGCCGACCCATCTCTTCTACTAACGTAAGTGTTAAACCTAACCTAACCTTGAGTTTTTCTAACCTAACCTAACCTTACGTAAGTGTTAAACCTTTATTTTTTCTCACCTAACCTAATCTAACATAAGTGTTAAACCTTGATTTTTTCTTTTACCTAGTACAGTATAATATTCTCTTATTGATATTTCTCTTCTATATTATGTGTGTGTGCATACCATCATAAAGTTAAGATACTATTTTTACTACAAGGTACGTATTGTGTCGGAAAAGGTGGAGTCTGGGGGTTGGCCCAGTC